TTAAGCGGAATGCGAACAGACGGTCCCAGTGTCTAAGCGAACAAGGCCCTCGTCCCAGACCGAGCGACTGCTGAGATTTTTTTTACAATTTCCTTTGGTGTATGTTAGCGGAATGTTATAGTCTCTTTTTCGTAATGAACAATGTTGCTGAGACATAAAGCCCCGCGGACGTTATCGGTTTCTGTCACATCGGAACAAATCGTCTGTTTAAGGCAATCGGCTTTATGAGTCTTATTTCTTTTTTGCCGTTGTGTTGCCGACAGTGGAAAACGCGATGTTTTGCTTTTTCCAGGTTTTTGTAATATTTATTTCTCTGTTCTTTCAGAATGTGTCATGCTTCAGTAGAAGTTTTGCACTCTGTTAGTAGAAGTCACAAAGGTTGCTAATTATACCACTGCGTTGCACAAGCCCGCACTGACGTATATATTCACCAGAGAGCTGAGAATCACAACCTCATTATCATCACTGTAGATGTCAGCCTGATATTTGTAACAGAAACAGCTTCGTATTTGTTGCCTGCGACTTTTAAACACCTGAAAACATAAATAATATCCTTATTATAATTTCGAGGTTGTGGAAATATTAACATTTACGTTTAAAAACTTTATAAATTTATAATAAACGTAATATATTTATATCAAATCTAAAACTTCTTGACGATGGTGAAGAGTCAATTGAATAAAATTTTTCTTGGATATTATCCATCGTCTAGTAAATATAAAACGTAAAACGACGTTTCGGAGATGGGACTCTATCTCCGTCTTCAGGTTCCTACTCAGTTGGGCCCACTAGATAGAGCTAATCCCTATCTAGACGATGGATAATATCCAAGAAAAATTTTATTCAATTGTAATATATTTAATTAACGAGCTTTCGTGGATTCCTTTTCAGCACATGTGCGTTCTCGCGCAGTAAAATTACAGAAGAGATTCGAAGACTGGTAATATTGAGAAGGACGGAGGAATTACTTGGTAGGAAAGACATCGAAGATAGTTTTCAGTCACTTCTTCTGATGCTTCAGTTATTCTTGGTTTCAGTGATTATCAACACTGACGGAGTGGAAACGGAGATAGGCGGAATGATGCGATGTTACAATGGCTGCTGAAGAGAGGTTTTGGATAAAATGTGAAGGAGAGAGACATTTAAGAGCACTCTACATGTGATCAATGTTTCAGAACTGTGAATGGAGTGGAAGCTTCCTTGGTGTTTACAGCCCCCACACCAAACCCACACCTTGAAAATGACCTTGAAAAGTAGCATCAATGCTTTCTTGTAGTTGGTTGTGTCAGGGTTGTAGGAGTATTAACATCCGTGTGCTCTGAAGCAACATTTTTAATTTATGATTATCGTAACCGACATTGAAACAAGAAAAGTAAAAAAAAATCATTTCACAGGAATATAGTAAATTTCTTGGAATCTGGTCCATCTACAAACGAGTTTTATCCAACGCTAGAAAACGGTTTCCACAAGGTTTACACAGTTAATTTTGAAACACAGTCCACAATTCTATAACGCATTGTACTTTTCTGGGCGTTTTATGAACATTATATTAATAAGCAAAGAGAACATAAACAATTCGTGTAATTATTTCTTCCGTCTGTTCGATTATATTTATGCTATTCTGATCTAGCAGAATTATAGCAACGTTCGACACTGTGGTAATCTTCAGATAATTTTTCAGAATTAATAGATATAAACTACATAATGCATTCGTTAGTTACATAAACGGACCCATTGAATTCTTCTTTCTGCATAAAGTAAGTTTCAGGACAACAAGTATTACTTTTTGAATCCTAACCTTTCTTTCGAAGTAAATTTTCTCACCCTTGTTTCCAATGTTCAAAACGACTGCTGGCGTACACGCTAAATTTATAACTTTTAATTCTGTCAAAATTATATGACAGTTTAATCATTTCATTTTTGAAATATATTTTATTACATTAATATATTTCCATGATAAAACATTAATTTTTGGAAAGCCACAAAGGAGAGGTTACAGAACCTGCTTCTTTTACTGACATCAAAACAACACATAAATTGAGACCAAAATGGGCAGTACTGTTAAACTAGATATCTTGTGCGTATCACGGAAAAGCATTCTTTAAATAAAACCACAATACAGCTTTTCAAAAATCCTTCTTTACTCCACACCCTAACTCTTGGCCTATTTCCTGTTTTTATTACGATTTCACTTCAGCACGTGGGAGTCATTGTCGATGATTTATTTGGCTGTGACCCAGGTTGTATGTCTTTTGTTTTTAACAGCCTTTTCATCGGATTTTCCCGAAAATGGCCGTATCAGGCCCCAGTCCAATGTTCTTCAGCAGAAGCTGCTTTGTCTTTTAAGGGGGCAGCTAATGGAAGAACCTTAATTTAGGAGCTTACGACGATGATGAATGATGATGTAAAACTCTCTGTACGTCGTATTCGGTCTCCAAGCCGTACCAGCCGAGACTGCGCGTGCGTTTGTGTTCAGCTCTGTCTTACGTGGCTTGCTGATGGTGCATTTGTGGTCAGCTCTGTCTTACGTGGCTTGCTGATAGTCGCTTGCCTGGTTAAATTCCGCGATCTTCGTTACACTGTTTACAACATCCCACCAATGTACTCTGCTGAAAGCGATCAATATAGTACAATTATTGACAAAATGTTTTCTTAAGATTCATTTTAATAGTATCCTCCCACGTATTCTCACTCAATACAAAATGTTTTAAAATATTCTAATATTAATTACTGTATCCATTTTTCGTTAACGCAGGCAATGCTGTTTTTTAAACTCATATGGAAACATACTCGTATTAGCAGAATATATAATTTAAATCTTTTATCCAAACCATAAAGTTTGCTGAATATTTGGTTTAGAAGTGTTCAGTAGGTCTTCCTTGTTTTACGAGTCGGTAGGAATTTTTAATTTAAGAAATCCTAGTGTAAGAATACTGTAGACCTTGAGTAGAAGCACTTAACAGCGGTTATATAGAAGCTTCTTTAATTCAGTGGTGCCAACGCAGTACAAGTAATGACACTCAAAAGTTAAACTGAAACAAAAGGCTGCAAGAAAATTGCTTCGTCGTGAGGTACAAAACGGTTCCTTTTTCATGGCGCCTTCATTGTTTCTTGTTCTACGAACGTGATAAGGGTTTTCTCTAGGAACTGAGAAAATAGGACAGAGGTATAACACCCAGGAGTAGTTGAAATAGTAAGGAAATACTTGAAGAACGAACAACTGTTTAAAAGTAATACGAGTACGTTTGTGTTTAATGGATCACAACTAACTCCATGGAGCTGTGTCCTCCTTGAAAGTCAAGAAATCCTTTACCTAGTCTAATACATTATCCATCTTTTATGGAACGCGACACAACTGTGAGCCAGATTAATCCAGTCCACATCTTGTTTAATTAAAATTCGTTTTAATATTATTTTTCTATTATGGCCTACGTGTCCCAGATGTTCTCTCCTCGTCATGGTTTCTGACTAACATGGATTTTACATCTGTGCCATGCTATATACATGACTCGCCGCTCTCACCAAGCACATTCTTGTATTTTCCACTTACTTAGTTACCTTTATTACTAAACCTTGTTCTCCAGTGTCCTCTAGTAGTTGACCCTTTAGGATGAGAGGTCAGGTGTGTTACGTGCAAATTTGGAACTGACGTAAGGAGCTTATCGTGAGTGATTTTCGGTGCCTCGTTCGCCAAAAAGTGTTGATTAAAGACGCTACTTTGGTACCCTCGTGGAAATCTTCCGTCACGAAAGTTGCGCGCTTGACAGAAACTTCTGAAGTACCGTGGAAGGACAGCTGGAGGAAAGCTGAGATGATTTAAGAGGAGAAATAATGGTGTGGACACGTCAGATTGACATCGCCTGCTTCAACAACAGAATTCACAAACACGCTCCACCATCTCCACTGAGCTCACTGCTCTGTATCGATTCCTACTTCATATGTGTCAAAAGATTAAATCCTTTCCAGCCTTTGAACTGCTTCAAAATTAATTACAACGGCGACAATACGTGTTAAAACACAATGGCTCTAGAACAAGAATAACCACGTTTCTTAATGGAATAAATGATTAATTGATCTTACAGTTTACTTATCTACATTAGCTATTCCAAAGAATATACCTATCAATAAATAACAACACTCGAACTTAAGTAGATTTAATTAAACTTACTTAAGGAAAGTTTAGGTAATGGAGTCTTATCCACAACACAAGGAATTATCATGCCGTCTTGACTCTGTCTCCGGAGCCTCGTTTGTACAATCGTCCACGGCGAGAAGTTTGATATAACCGTAATTTT